GATAGAAAGTTCTAAAAGAAAGGTTATAGTAAACATATACAAACATAAACACACATACACACACATGTAAATATCTGATATAATATTACAAGTAACTGGACATGTAGATGCAGCAGTTGGGGTTATCAAATTGTTAATTAACATGCCATCAAAATCAATATTATCAATATACATATACCAGTTTATAAATAAATATATGTCTATAACATTATTTATGAAAACTCGTGGCATTATGCCTTATTTTGAAGGCTTTGACAAGATATTCACTTAGCTTTGTAATAATTAGATTATTTCATTAGACATTAACCAGAGAAATTTGTCTCCTTTTGATAATAATATGAAATTTTTGTTTAGTAATGAGATATCACGGAAAAATTTATCTCTCTCCTCAGTATATAATGGGCATTCAGTAAGAAAATGGTATTCATCTTCTATATTGTTTTGGTTACACATTAAACATATTCTTTTGTTTCTATCTAAGGGGATTCTTTGACCAGCATTATTTTTTACAGATTCATATCTGCCTTTTTCAATTCTTAGGTCATGAGCACTTATTCTAAATCTGCAAATGGATTTTCTTATTTCATGAGATTTAATGTACATATATTTTTCCATTATAAAATTTTCTTTAAACCTAAAATAAGTAGTAAGTTTTCCAGATTCCAGTCCCTCTTCACGTTTCATTTTCCAATATTGTAGGAAGTGTTTTTTCAAATGTTTCTTAACTTGTTTTTTTAAAAATGTGTATTTGTATGTTTTACATTCTGGTAATGAGAGATTAATTTTCTTACTATAATAAATTACATTTTTGTACCAGCAGTTAATATTGCCTTGACTAAGGTTAATATTTTCTGTATATGCTTTATGTAACAGGGAAGATAATTGCAACCTATGCCAGTATAATAAGATGTTTTGAATAATTGAAAAATACATAGGGTATCTTCACCAGTTCAGAAATTATTGCAATATTAGTACTTTTCTTCCCAGCTTCCAATAGATATTTACAAAATTTGATATTTAAGCTTTCTGCCTCCCACTCTTTAAAAATATCGTATAAATGTTTGTTTTTATCATGCGTGCTGTAAGGGTTCCCAAATTTCACAGCCATATAATGCAACAGGCTTTATCATGTGATCAAAAAGATGTAGGAGTGTTTTGATGGGAGACAGCTTTTAGGTCTTTGTATAATTTGAAAGAAGCTTTAAGTGCTTTATAATATAGATGAGATCTTGCTTCTTTGAAGGTGCACATGAGGTTAAAATAATACCTAAGTATTGATATTTGTTAACACATTCAATAAGGGAATTTTCAAGTGTGAACTTTTCATTAATAAAATGACCACTTTTATTAAAGATCACTACTTTGGTTTTACTTGTATTATATTTACAGTATTTGTAAAGTACTAATTTGTTTTGCAGTCCTTTTTGGCTATCCGATAATAAAACAAGATCATCAGCATATAAGAGTGAGGAAATTTTCTTTCCAGAAAGAGAAACATGTCCAGTTTTTTCTTCATCAAGTAATTTAGAAAAATCATTGAGAAATATTTTAAAAATATTTGGGCTTAATACGTCTCCCAGGACTCCTATTTCTGGTCTATATGGGGGAGTTAATAACATAATATATTTAATTCTAAGTTCTTCATTCTGGACATTTTAATACAAAATGAAATTGGTTCTCACCTGACCTACATATTTCACATTTTCTATCTTTTTTTTAAAGATTTTTCTATTCTTAAATATATTGATAGCCTTACTGATAGGTAAACTTAGAATGCAATGGTTTTCTTAAATAAGTCTGTAATGCAACATTATCCACTAAATGTTGGAATAGAAAATATTTAGGAGAATTACAAATTCTTGCCATAATTTCTTGTTTATAACAGTCATACATTCTTTGAAATATAATGTTCAGAGTATTATTATCAATACAATCACTATTGTACATGTCAGCTAAACCAAGGAATTCCTTCTTAATGTTTACAATCCATTCATCATTATTTTCAACCATATCTTGATAACATGCTTGTAATATACAATTATCACTGTTTTTTAATTTCAAGTATTTCAAAATTTTCTTTTTCCTTTCAATATATTTCTGATTCACAGTAAATTGCATCATTAAGTGCTTTGTCTGACCTTTAAGACCGTTTACAATAATTCAAGTGAACATTTTCTATGTCTTGACCCTTGTGAAATCCCCATACTTCAGCTCCATAACTCATAACACTGTTAACATAAGTATCGAATACAGCTAATTGTGTTTCTACGTTAAAATGCAAATCCCTGATTTTACTATTTACACCATACATAGCTTTTTTACCTTGACATGAAAAATGTTTCTGTGTTTCAGTAAATTTTCCATTATAATTAAATAACATACCTAGATAATTAAACTGATTAACAACTTCAACATTGCAACCGTTGTTATCCAACGTTCATTTTATATTTACGACTATTGAAAAATTAATATTTTTGTTTTTTCAACATTAACAGTTAGATTCCACTCCGTTGTGTATGTATATAATGCATCCAACATTCTTTGGCTGAGTCAGATATCAAAACAGTATCATCTGCATACATCAGTAAAAATATATTTATCATCTGCAGTTCGATTGATGGACAATTATTTGTAATAAAGTGACGTTCAAAGTCATTCAAATACATAGAAAATAATAATGGTGATAAAATTTCACCTTGTAACACACCAGACGTAATTTTGAAATACTCTGTAAGTAAACCATTATATTTTACACATGCCTTAATATTATCATATAAAGATTTGATAATACAAAATAATTTCCCTTGAATACCCAGTACTAATTTTAAGCCACAAGTTAATTCTATTGATATAATCGAAGGCTTTTTGATAATCTACAAAACAACAATAAAGTTTTCTTTTTTCCTATATATGTTAACTAATGTAAAACTCAATGGTACTTCACCTGACTTGAATCCAAATTGCCGTCTGTAGTTATGTTATACTCTTTATCCCAATGCATCAGTCTATTATTTAATATGCTTGTAAATAATTTAGCCATGCAACTAACAAGTGTAATTCCCCTATAATTATTAGGATTATTACTATCCCCTTTCTTAAAAACTGGCACTATACACCCAGTAGCCCAACTCTCTGGATAATGGCCTGACGTAAAGATTTTATTGAACAACATGCATAAAATAGGCATGAGTATTTGTTTACAATGGATGAAGAAGTTAATCAGATTTTTACTTTTATTATGATTTAATTTATCAATAGCATATTCAATAATTTCCTATCTAATTCACAGTATACTGATGATTGTATCTCTACGTAATTAAATTCATTATTCCAATTGTTTTCTGTATTACATTCAAGCAAGGTTTTGAAATGTTCTAAGAAATCGTTAGCCGATAAATCTGAACTTACTTGCCCTTTCTTACGTTCAAACAATTTGTAAAATTTTTTGGGGTCGAATATACTCGATTTTATTACCTTGATGTCTCTCATAATTGTGTCTACATTTTTTCATAACTTTCTTGTAAGCCGCTTTTTTATTAACTAATATTAATCTATTATCAGTAGATTTCTGTTTATTAAAATGGTTTAGAGCTGTCTCATATTCTATGTACTTTGTCTTACACTCTTCATTAAACCATGGTTTATCTTCAGTATGTTTTGAATTAATATTTCTATTCATATTAATATATTTCTGTGTAATTTTACAGTATGGCAGAATTAAATCACATAATGTTTTACTAAAATTATTAACACACTGATTTACTACTTCTGTGCTATCAAACGAATGAATCAGACAATCAGAAAGCAAGTCAAAGTTATTATTGAGAGTAGTATTTATCTGCGTTACATTTTCTTCAACCCATTTTACTGATTTAAAAACCGTTCTACCTGATTGCTCTTGACCACAAACAACCTCACTTTCTTTATATGCACCACCTATAGAAAAAATAATTGGTTCTTGAAAAAAAGAAAAATCTTTAAAGTAAAATCTACAATATTACTAGCGTTATATATTTGTTATTAGATAATAAAACTCATACCATTTGCACCATAAAAAGTTATACCCCCATGTTGATCATTTTTATGTCTTCCATTGATAATTCGCATACCAGTGGTTTTACACAAGTCTATCAATTTTCTACCAAAATTATTCACAAAACTATCACTGTTGTTCCTTGTAGACTCGTTTGTATCTAAATCGTAATCAGTAAAAGCTTGCATATTATCTGTTACCGATTTATTTATCATATCGTTCCTTATAAAATCATCTAAATTACCACATCTAGCATTTAAGTCTCCTGTTAAATAAACCTTTCCCTTGCTAGCAAATCTGCAAATTGATTCTTCTAAATACTGAAAAATATCTACATCTTCTTTTTTATAAAAAGTACTTTTTTCAGGTGGTATGTAGCAAGAAGCTAAATAAATAGGCTTTTCATTTATAATTGACTCTTTTCTAATTTCTAGCCAGATAACAGTATTGCAAAAACATTCTATAATATTAAACTGATAACGTTTTTATAAAAAATGAAATTCCCTCTTCCACAATTCCACAAAAAGGTCACTTACCCATGCCTTCTAACAAATGGATTTAAATAACCCTTCAGTTATTAAATCTAAATTAATTCATCCTAAATATGTGTTAATTGTAAAACAAATAACATGCCATCATTTTTTTAAAAATTTATTTCTGATATTAAAATAAAATACATATAATTATATTTAAATACTCATATTGCACCAGTTATATACATGTATATTTGACATTTAAAAACTCTTACATGGCATTTAATTTTAAGAAATAAGAATGATGAAAATTAAAGCAAAATACAGGTCAGAACATCAAATTTTGAACATTTTTATACTGAAGATCACATCATTTTCAGGGCACCTCACTAACTATTGTCGTATATGGGATATTTGGTTCCCATAAAGAAGAAATGGTGTCATTTCTCTTTGAATTCTTAAAGAATACTTATAAAATGCAGTCTTGTTAATTATTATACAAATATAGTTCTCACAAAGAAAAATGTTATTTACAATAATAAAAATGATTCATAATTATATGATTACAACAAGTTCATCACTTGGACATATCTAAAGCTGTATTCTCTATTCAGTATGAAAGATTATTTTCATAAAACCTGGAAATATTTGCATGAGTAGCAATGACATACATGAATTAAAGTGATTGACATAATCTTTTGATGAAATGTTTTAATATCTTATCACATGGGCTTTTAAACCAAGGTAGTGAAAGAAAATTATTAAAAAAAAAAAAAAATGAGACCAGATTATACAGTTGACCTTCAATATCTCAAACATTGATAGCTCGTATACCATGGATATGTCAATGTAAACTGAAAGTCCCCTCCACCTTTTCCTTCTGTTTTTTTAAACTCAATATCTCAAAATCTCAACTATCTCAAATTTTTTCTCAGTCCCATGACATTCAAGATAAAGAGGTTTGACTTTAATTGATTAAGTGAAGATTTTTTTCTTCCACATTACCATTCTCAGTCTTATAATAATGCCAAGACAGCTTTTTATTACAATACATGTATCAAAATGCAGTCATAATATCAGTGAACAGGGTTTGATAAAAAGGAAAAAAAAACATAGAAATCAACTAGGTGTTTACAATAAATGACCTCAAATAGAATAATAGAATATCTAACCATCATTGCATTACATGTTACTATGAACAACTTTTAAATTGATTTCTTTCCATTCATGACAAATCCATTACAAATGCAGTGAAAAAATAAAAATAATTCAATATCTTGTGAAAGCGTATAATTGTTGAAATCTAAAAACATTAAAAATCTATTTTAGATGTCAAGACTCAAATCCTTTCGTAGGTTCAATACAACAGTAGCATGAACATGACAAGAACAAGATTTTAATAATACCTTTGTCTAACTTTTTAAAAAAGATCATAAATCATACAGTGCTTACAATCACACAGAAGTCAGTTCTCCTTTGCATTTTTCGCAGCAGTTAAAGGTCAGATTGTCAAACTTGGCATAAGGATGGTAACGGCTGGCAACAGCAGAGGTCAAGGTCATTTGATTGGTTTCCTTTTCTGTTTCTCTGGACAAGAGCTGCAACAAAATTAATTTCTCAGAAAATATTTACTATTTAATAGCATGATTTTCTAGTCAGATTTTTGTGTTACAACTGCCATTTCAGTCGAATTGTAAAAGATTGGAAAAATTGTGATTAATAAAACCAGAAGTTCTTTGTCAATTTACATATAATGATCCTTGAATAAGTCTCTTTTTGTGGCATGACTGCAATAAGACTACAACTGTAGAAGTAGCTTTTAATAAAATTTTACAGAATTTTCAATTTTTGTTACCATGGCAACACTATTCTTAAAAAAAAATAAAGACAATTATGTATCATTATATAATTTTTATATCAATATCATTAAGTGTTGCATTTCAAATAATTGCATTAATAGTTGACATTCTCAAGCGCTAAATGAATATAATTCTTGCAATAAACAGCAATTTAGCATTAGCAGTTGAGAATGTCAACTATTAATGCCATAATTTATGGCAATAAGCTTTTCAATTGCAGCAAAAATGACATTTCTATCATTAAGTGTATAGATGTGATAATTTCTATACCCAGATACTGTACAACAGCCTTCAAAATACTGGAATTTGGGCGATAATATACTGTACATTGCTAATCAAAAAACTGACAAAAAACGGTACAAAATATTGACTAAAAAATCAATGTATTTAGGTGTTTAGTTTTGAATAATACATTTCAAATCAATGTACAGGTACACCACTGCATAACATGTATTATAATTTATTATTCAAGAAACTCTTGAATAATTTTGAATTTTGGCAATAAACTATGCTAAATGTTGAACTTAGTAAAAAGTAGAGTGTTTAAAAACAGTTTATTGTATGAGTCTGGTCGTCTCCATTCAGCTGCAATTTTTAAATTGTACTAAAACAGTTAACATTTCTCTTAATCTGTGTTTGAATAGACAATACGTATGCCTCATCAAATAATAGACTAAATTTCGTTTTGCTGTCACAAAGTGTCTCCGATTCTTGTGAATGGCGTTTTCTCTTTGATATGTCTTTAGTTTTAATAAATTACAGTTTAAAAAATCCTGGATGAAGGACCTATTAAATAGCAATCAGCCAAACAAAATGCGTTGATATCTCCTAATTACGATGTACAATGTAATTATCACGGAAATATTTCACACCTTCATTCATTATGTTTTTTTACATTAATCAGGCGCGGTAAGTCACACATAGTTCGAGATTCCCGGTGTTGCAAGAGCGGGAATGAAAGAAAAATGGCGGTTTCCAGTAAAAATTTCAAAATACGGTACACATTTTCATTTTCCGTGAATTTTAGTGTACCGCCATGAGCCCGTGAATGGGGTCGAAAATGCGTGACATTTTGTGTACCGCTGGTACATATCACATGTATGTAAGTGGCATTTTTTCATTAGCATGGTTCATATAGAGTGGTCCTGTTACTACCTATTATTTGATTTGGCAACTCTTTAGTTCATTTTTATGCATGATTTTCCAGTGTACAAATGGACAAACTTTCGTATGCAGAAGGCTACAAACCTGGTGGGCATACGATTCTGCCAGTGTGAGGTTGTCTTCCCATGGTGGGGTGGGTTCTATCTGAATCACAGTGTCATGGGGCAGTAGTCGATAACGAATATTCTCTGTCAGTCTCTGATTCATACGCGCCAGGTCCAAGGCATTTGTGGAGGGTAACTTTGGGGTTTTCTTGGCAGTCAGTGGGTCAAATGCAGATCTTATTTGTTCTAAACTCCTAAATAATAAAATATTCAAATATTGTGGCTTTAATAATTCTATATCTGTATATACACTGTATAATATATTAATTTAATTTATATGTAAAAATTTTATCATGGTTAACATCTTAACTGTACATGTTTGAATTAATAAATGTCCAAAAATAGCTATTGTATGATTAACAATCAACTACATGTAATTACGATGCATGTAGAAAAACAATCAAATTTTCAAGAATTTAGAAATTTAAATACTAGGATGACAGTAAATCTTACTTGTAGGTCTCAAACAGGTTTCTCCTCAGTTCATGCCTATCGTTTAGCAGCTGTTGTAAAGCATGCTGGGATTCCTGGCAGAGCATCGCAAAGTAAGCTTTATCTGCAGCCAACTCATCAATCATCACCCTGCAGAATAAAAACAAGGGTACCTAATATAACCTCCATATCACAAACCTGTAATATCTAGATTTTACTACAATGTTTAAGGACAATTGTAACTCTGCCAAGAGAGATAACTCTACCAAAGATAAATCAATATGCTTCCTTCATAAAAATTTCTCCTTCAACAAAAAATTCAAGCAATTTTATTCAGGAAAGTATGTTTACTAATCAAACATTAGCAAAATATTACTAACATTATTTTTAGTCTTCCTTTGCACATGAAAAGATTAACCAAAAAGTAAAAAAAAAACTATTATTAATAAATAATGTGTATTTGATCTGATTATTAGTAACTCAGTCGAAATGCTTTGAGCTTCTGTATCTACCAAGTAATCCATCAAAAATAAACACATTGTCACCTCCTACAGCAACATTATAGAATGATGAAATCAACATGTGCAATGAGAAAATTTGAGGGAAAAAAGTTTCAAGCTATCTTATTTAATGTGAAGATGACAAGTTTTAAGGAACAGATGATACAAACAAAAAATTGATGCCTGGATTGGTATATATTTTTTAGCCTAATGTCATTGCAAATTATGCAAATAATAAATTTCTAGAATATAAAGAAATTGTAAACCTTCTGTGATGTTCAAAAGTCTGCCCTTATAAAACCATCCTTATAAATCTTTACAAATATTTTTCACTTTAAATTCCATTTAAGTACAAATTTGAATAAAAAATTAAAAACTACGCAGTGAAAGTTATTCATTTTATTCATTGAAACATGACCCAAGTTGTTATTTTCAAATTCTTTGACAAAAGTTTGTTTGTATCATCTGTCCTTAATTCACATTAATTGGGTAAATCTTCAATATCTGTGATATGTTCTCCTAGGATGTCTTACAACACATCCATATCTATAGTTCAGAATATGAAGGGCTTAGTGCAAAAAAGATATATTTTTTTTTCAAATGTTTAATGTAAAGTTTAAATTTGTCATGCCTAAACCTACTAGTATTTTACAAAAGGCCAATTAACATGGTAAATATCAAAACCCAATACTCTTTACATTAAAACATTACAGGCTTACGTGATTTTTTTTTCAAAGCAACTCAAAATAGGTCAAGTTCAAGGTCACAGGTTTATTAATATACCACAGGCTGACTTCTTACAATTCAAAAGAAGTATGGTCCAATATATTTCTTAGAGAGGGACAACGTTCAAATAAACATGGAAATGTACTTTATAAAGTTTTTAACAACAAAGAATTCAAAAGATTTCTTCATAGCATAGGAAAAAAATTGAAATTCAAGGTTATTTAGATATGTAAAGATATGTAAACCCTAGAATTAAAGAAACTGGCTATATGGCAACAGTTTCACATTTGAATTCTTATTCCACACTCCTCAATATGTGACGTGTTACCTACCGACTGGCTAAGAACTTGCTCCGCCACATGTCTGCCTGGATAGAGATTTTATCCATATGTTCATAGTCATCTGACAACTTCTTAGAGAAATGTCCCAGTTCCTTGGACAGCTGAGCTTTGTCTCTAAAATTAATGAAGTCTAAAAGATGCTATACGGCGATTACACAAAAGTCAAACATACCTAATTTTAATATGCTGGTAAAAATGTTATTTTCATGATGAAAATTACAATAAAAAATGCTGAACATACAATAAAATGTGTTGACAAAATACAGAAAGAATATAACTTTACTTTCAACCTCTTCTTTCATTTGATAGAGTACTTTGACTGTTTGTGGAGTTTAATGTCATTCTCATTTTTCCTTTCAAATGAAAGTTATAAATCTCTGAATTTTAAACTCAGAGTAGCAAACTTCTGGAATAAGTGAAAACCAAATACCGTACAAGTAGAATTTTTAGCGAGGATTTAATTTTGGCATTATTAGCGAGGGTGATGAGATCGCTAAAATTGAATATCGCAAAAAAATTTATTGCTTTATATTTGTAATAGGTTCTTTAGTGAGCATTTTAAAATCTCTAAAATTACATCTCGCTAAAAATAAAATACCAGTTTTTAAGGACAAATAGCTAAATTTGCCTCTCGCTAAAATTTCCACTTATACGGTACGCATCATTAAGTTACTTTTTTTAATGATTTCTTGTCTATATATCATAAACATGCAGTAATGTTAAAACCAGGGAGAATGGTGCTGGATTGAATCAAACTGAATAAAAGAGAATGCACTTTCAAGTACATGTAATTCTGAGTTTAGCAAACCTGAAATTAGAATAAGATGAACTGACCATTAAGTTCAACACACATGAAGTTAAGGGGGAAAGAACTACAGTAAAACTCGGTTATAACGAAGTCGCTGGGACCTCTGAAATTACCTCGCTTTATCCTTAATACATTATATCCATATAAGAAATTTGTTAAATTTATATAGCTGGGGATCCAAAATAACCTAGCTATATCCGTGAATTCGCAATATCCGTGTTCGTACTAACCGAGTTTTGCTGTACTAAGTTTAACATACCTAACTAGATGTTCCATTGTGAAATGTAGGTCATCTCCTACTGATGCCACCAACAGTTTCTTTAGCTCTGTGTTAACCTACCAAGAAAAAAGGAAAAACTAAATTCAAACCAGTCAGACCTAGTGCAGATAATAAAGGAATAGGAGGTTGGGAATCAGAGCCCCTTAGGGGATTTTCAGAGATACATGTGTAGTAATGTATGAAAGAGTAACTTCCCCCTCATCCCACCCCCAATTAAGAAAAAAATCTGAGTCCAACATTTGTGGACCCCACCCTCTTGAAAAATTTTTTTAGATACACACTTGCAGACCAATCTGAGAGAAGGAACTTTTCAGTAAGATCAACTTTTTGAAAAGGATCTGTTGTCTACTAACAATGTCTTGGTCTGTTGAAGAATAAAAGCTCTATATAATAAGTTTTTAAGAAAATTTTCCATGTTTTTTTTACTGTACCTGAAGCTGTACATCCAGCTGTTTTGTTAGACTGGCAATCTGAGTGTCCATTGTCTTCCTCAACTCTGTGTTTTCTTGCCTGAGTTTCTTTATCTCCTCAGATTCTAGTCCTCCTCCTGTTTCCTCAGCATTATTCCTACCACTTTCCTCCATCAACACAGGAGCTGTCCTCACTCTAAGGCCCTCCTTTTCATCTCCACTCTTATTAGATATGTCCACTTCCCCTGCCTTAAGAGGACTGACCTTGTACACAAGTTTACCTCCATTTTCTGAAGAGCTTTCTCTGGGGTAAGGCTCTACATTTGCTACAGGTTGGACATATTTTGTTTCCCCTTTGTTGCTTTCCACTGGTTTTCTTATTTGTGTTTGAAAGTTGTATTTTGGTAGAGGCTGTCTTACTAGAACTGTACCTTTCTCTTCCAGAGCTGCTTTACTCTTCCTAGTCTCTTTCCCTTTAACAGGAGGGCCACTTTTTGTTTCTCTGATGACCTGGCTGTTAGCAATGATTGTCTTTGGTCTGGCCAAAGCTTCAGCCATCTTGATTGTACTCAAACCCTGCATAATGAATAATGTTAAACTTTAGTATCATGACACACTAAGCCTATCAGAAATTGAAATGAATAAAATAAAATCAAAACAACAAAGTTCTACAAAAATATTAAGAAGTGAAAATTGTAGATATTATGATGATGATTAGGCTTCGATCATCCCACCATAATAATTAAAATATTAAGAGCCATTCAGTGTGTGGCGTATATAAAACCAACAGATGTTTAAATAATAGCTAGTCCATGCAATCCATTTCATGATTTGTTAAACTTTCAAAAGATTGACCTTAAGTTAAATTTGTTTTTAAAAAATCCTATTTTCTCAGATAAATATTAAATCTAAATCTGAATATATTCTTACTTTGTTTTGAAGCTAAAAAAAAATCCCCTCCTATACTTGTTAACTCCTGTCACAAAATCGTTACAAAGCTAACTAATTGTCACACAAATCGCATGTTTCTCTTCACGCATGACAGCTCAAAACATCACTTAAAGGACGACACAATTTCTGTATATTGACTTATGGTGTACTAAAACAACAATATACCTGTCCCTTCTAGGATCTTCTGTTAAATTCCACTTAGGCATTATACATTAAACTACCAAGAAAGTCTGTCAACAAATTATTGTAGAACTTTAACATGTTTAATATCTCTCTATATCTTTTTCCCTTCCAAATATGGTAGTAGAGCTAAATGATTTACAATCTATAATGATGTTGAATATAATGTTACTTAATTTCCCATAAAGTTTTCAGTCTATCCATGGGATAATTTTTTTTATAAAAAATATTACAAATATTTCATTCCACTATACACTGCTCCACAATAGCATTTCTACTTTTAAACAAAATTACTATGCACCAAATTATCCTGAGTCCGGTCATTTAGAGTTTTTGTTTAATAAACTCTGACATTTTTAAGGTAGGTAGGTATAACATTAAAAACAAGCTAATTCAGAGAATTTGTGTCCCCCGCTTAGGGAAAAAGTAAACCATGCGCAGTTCAGGGGAGGGGGGTTGGGTTGGATCCCCTTGACTGAATTTGTAGAATTATTAAATGTATGCATGTATACTGAAGCAAATAAAATATGCCAATATGGATATAAAGGTTTGATTGCTTATTCTTTATTATGTGTTACAATGTATAGAAGATTCTTTTTATAGGGAATATTTATCACACTGTAATCATGATTTTATGAGTTTGTACAATGTACAAGCCAGACCTCATAAATTTTTCATTTCACATGAATACTATCATTTAGTAAAAAAAAAAAAGTATTTCGAAAAAAAAAAAATGATGGCTCGGAATGCGAATCCGGGCCCTCTCACATGTGAAGCGGGAGACATACCACTAAAAATTTTACACAATGCATGATATCTAATTTAACGTTTATTAAACAGTTTTAACAGATGTACAAAATAATGTAATAAGAATATAAAGTCCACCGAGAACCTGTTTTATACATAATAACTCTCCTCATGCCCATGTCCTAAAAATAGCGACATGTAATACAATAAATAACTAATAAAACAAATGGGGCGGGACACTTTGAGAGGGGTGAGAGAAGTCCTAAGGAGTTTTGGTATAAAATTACATCGCAAAAGCTCAAAATCTTCTTGAAATATCGCCCGGAAATGATAGTGTTTCATACAGACAGAATGTATAAATTTAAGACCTTGAACTTTGACCTTTTGACCTCAAAATCAATAGGGGTCTTCCTTCGGCCACAGGAAGTTGTTATGTAAAATTTCATTGCAAAAGATCAAAGAGTTCTTGAGATATCGCGCGGAAACGAAAGTGTTATAAAAGACAGAATTTGCGAATTTATGAACTTGACCTTTGACCTTTTGACCTCAAAATCAATAGGGTTCTTTTTTAGTCCATAGGGAGTTGCTACGCAAAATTCATTCCGAAAGCTCAAAGGGTTCTTGAGATACCGTGTGGAAACGAAAGCGTTACAGACAGACAGAAAGACGGACGGACGGACAGACAGACCCAAATTAATATCCCCCACTTTTCAAGTGGGGGACAAAAATGTCTTACACATTGATTATCATAATAAAAATCTCAGACTAAGAATTTTTTAACTTTGCATTATACACACCAGACAACTAGACAGATTTAATATTTATTGCTTTAAAAACATTCAATCTAAATGCATTTAAGAGAAATAATTAAACTTTAAATATGATTTGAATAATCTGTATTTCCCGCAAACCAAGCAATAAACTCTGCAGAGTCTTAATGTCCCTGTTAATTATTATAGTGAATAATCAAACTGATGGGAAATACCTTCTCTCAAAATATAGTCTGTATCACTTTACTTCTAGAATATTTCACTCTTACTGGGATGCTATCACTTGTCAGTGGAGGGCTGCAAATTTAGACTTGTATTGAGTGCTTTGGATCTTACAGCAATGATAGATTTTTTCTGCCAGCACCTACTACAGTCTACAACATAGGACTCTGTTATATGGTCTCATCTGAAAGACCAGCCTCCACACCACAGAGTGGATTTGAACACATGGTGCATCTTTTTAGGACTTTCTCTTTACCCTACAACTCTAGAGAAAATGTTCTGACCACTGTGCCACATGGCTGATTTTTAATTTAACAAGAGGCCCAGGGGCCATATCGCTCACCTGAGTGTAAGACCTTTACTTGCAAGAATTATGCATGTAGATGTTGAGTATGAATTTCTTTTTATTCATTTTCTGTAATTGGGCTTGATCTGAGCATAAAATTGTTTAGAATGGCTTTCTTTTCAACCAGTGCTTAATTAATGCTTACAGTGTACCTCATTATCAATTTAGTCATAAAGAGGTCAATCTCAGTATTTCTGCGGAATATAGCACTTGTACTGTCAACTCTGAAGTGTACTATGCTTTTATTGAACAATAACATTTCTCTCCTTTTTGGGGGGTGTAACATTAGCTATGATAGTTACTGTGGAATCACAAATTTTCGTGGGGGGTTAATTTTCGTTGTTTTCGTGGTATGACAAGACCCACGAATTCATGTCTACAACGAAATGTAAAATTTCACACACATAAGTACTTATTGATTCTTGATCCACGAAATCAAATCCCCACGAACCAAGAAATTTTCCTCAAACCACGAAAATTTGACCCCACGAAAATATGTGATTTTACAGTATAATAAAAACAGAAAATGCGAATAAGATTTTACTTTTATTTCTTTACAAAATTCAACAGATTTGGTGAAAATTTATCAGACAATTAGTAGAGAATATAATGAAAACTAAGAAGCGTTAATAACAATCAACTATCTAAATTTCATATGATTTCAACAGACATATATAATCACAGTATCAAATATGCAATATTGCAGCAATTTTGTGACAGAAATGCAAAACTTCCTGACAATAACATTACATGTAAACATAGATGCTTTTTAAACAGTTCAAAATTTGTTTAGAGGAAAGTTAAATACATCAAGGTAATCGTTTGAAAGATACAAAATATACTGTATTTATTTTTAAGTTCACTTAATAGTAAATCTTTCCTATACATAACGAAAGCGAAAATTGGAAAGATTCCAACTGAAAGTGAATAATTATATGAATAATTATATGACACTGACTTTGAACATCAACTATTATTTTTAAAGAATTTTTAATAAGTAACATTTACCGGTAATTGGAGTACCTGCAGGAATCAGATAACCTAAACTTGATGGTAATATTCCAAAATGGAGTGATTAAGATTTTTGCAATCAATAATTTTGATTTTAAAGCCCAGTCATGAGAAATTATAGTGATCCACCTTTTTTTCCCTGTCTTTTAAAGGAAAAATTGTAATGTTATAAAGAGGTAGGTTTACCTCCCTTTACGGGCTGGCCATTGACCCCCTCTTTTCATACTTACCTGGGTATAAGTCGATTCTCATGAAATTATAATATAATGGTGGTCACATATTAAATATCTCAATGCTGGAGAAAATTAAATATCAATTAGTATGGAGTTAACTGAAATCAGCAATATACTAGTAGCTTAGAATGAGTTGTCAGTTTCTGTCTGATTATGCAGGTTGCTTTCCTATTCTACACAGGTATAAGCTAAAGCTAGTAAAAGTAAATGTTTAAAGCTGAATGACTTGAAATACAAAAATACAATAAACTTAACATTTTAAGACAAAAAAAATCCAAAAAGATAAAAATTCAAGACAAATTATTTCAACACAAAGTTTCATATATACAATGAACATACATGTAAATGATGTTAAAAGAAAATATTTGCTCTGGGAAAAATATTAATTCATATACACTGTAAAAATTTATACTCTCATGTACTCCAGTATTGTTCAGCAGGGACTAAATGACACAAGACATAGTAACATTTTTAAACTTACAATATTTCTATACAGCAAAATTTTATATGAACAGATGCCGGTAATATTCGATGAATTTACTTCATAAAATTATAGAATACAGTGTTGAACATATATCAAAGATACCAATTACTTGATGCAAGTGCAACTCTAATCATTATTAAGCAGAACTCATTATTTTCTTTAAAGTAAACTTTGTAAACAATTCATGTAATCTCAAAATATTTCATGTATACCGGTATTCAAAATACAAGTTCATGATATTCATATGTATAATCATTAAAGAAAAGAATCTAAACAGTAAGGGTAAAACTATTATCTCACAAACATCAATACAGTATATTCATAATTTCTAAATATTAATTAACACATAATATATACAATGATCATCATTTTTTTTTTACATGAATGATTGTTATTGATGGTACATAAATTTCCCTTAACATGCAACATTCAATTATTTGTACATTTATTGTCTGTTAAAAATTAACCCACAATAAAAATTCATAATGAAGGATTCCTGTTTAGTACAATCATTTTAGTACAGTTATTTGCAAATTTTTAAGGCTATTCAATGCATACATATAAAAAATAGTTTAAAGTTACTAAAAACAAACAAGATTTTACATCAAGTAATTGGTGTCTATAAGATACTGTATACAGGGAAATATTCGCCCCATTTCATTTTTCCCACTGTCATCCATCTGAGGTAAGACAAATTTAAAACAGGGTAAATTAAAAGAACACGTAGTATGATTTCTTCAATAATACTGTGAGTGGGGATAATTTAAACGCTGAAAAAATTGTGTGAAAGGCTGAAAATAACACAGCCAGGGCGAATATAACCCTGTATACAGCAATCAATGTACCAAATGTCACTAAGTGACACTGGCACATCGATAGGTGGGAGAGGGGACAAGATGACGTATCTCCCCCAAATAAATACTCTTGCGTCCCTTATATCAGATTTATAAAGAATATGTACAGTAAATCATTTTATGGTCCGACCAATATGCCTCAATCACATCAGTTTCACAATGAGGGAAGTTTGTGAAAATCAAATCAAGTTGTGAACCTGAATCATGAGTTACCTTTTTGATCAATTGTGTGCATTTTAAATTCAACTTCATAAAGTTCAGAAATTCTTTGTGACCTGTAAACAAATCAAAATTGAAATCTCCAAGAATTATCAATTTTTTCTCTGTGTCTACAAAAGGTTTCAAGTGCAACATAACTTCACGTTCAAATTCTTTAAAAGAACATGCTGGGAACTTGTATAAAACAACTATCTGCACTTCTCCAAGGTCTCTGAAATTTATTAAAGCTATGATGAATTCAAGCAAAGTGTTACTGAATTTTGAGATACATGTCATCAAATGGTCTTGTTTAACATATAATGCTGTTCCATGATGAGGCCGATTGCTGTCACTTCTCTTTTCATGATTAAACAAAGTCAAGTAACCTTCCATCATAAAATTCTGTTCATCATTGATGGTTAGTCTTGTTTCTGAAAAACCAATAACATCTGATGCTACAACATTGGGTTCATTTTTAATTTCATCAAAATGTTTGTGAAGAGATCTTGCATTATTAAACATAATTTTTAGTTTGTTCTGCTCTGTTTTGTACAATGGAAGATAACACAGCTTTAGAGGTGCTTCCTTCCTCATTCTTTCCATTTCTTCTACAACTTTATCATCAACAGTTAATGCTTGCTCATTGAAATTCAGAATATGCAATTTGTCAACAGATCTAACTCTACTAAGAGCTACATAATGAATGTGGGGTGTTTTCCTTATCCTTGACTGAGATAAATCTACTACAATTTCATCAACAGTGCAGCCCTGAGCCTTATGAATTGTCTTACCTGCAGCTGGTCTTAAAGGAAACTGTATTCTTTGATATGTAGTTGAATTGAAAACAAAAGATCGCTGACAGTCAAATATCGGTGTCCAATCATCCATAACACCATCATGGAAAAGATGTCTGTATTTCTGTCGAGCAATTCTCCCTACTGCAGAATCCAAAAACTTCACCCATACTATACTTGGCCTTGATACACCAGGTAATCTGTTTTCAACAAGAAATACAGTACATGATGAACCATTTGTCAAGCCATCAGTAACATCAATATTAACTGTAATGTCATATATCATTCCAATGGCTAGAGTTAGTTTTGTCATGAGATTTGCAGTTTTGCTAACATCATCTTGATTTTGCAATGATCTGAGTAGTCGGTCTTTCACAGACTTACTGTGGTCTTGGAGGACACTGTCAACAGCTTTTACAATAACTTTTTCACCAGGAAGTTGCTCTATAAGTTTATTGTTATATTCATCTACTTTTGCATTCATTGTGAAAAGATGGGGAGCATTGTGTGGATAATTTGGACTATTTTCAGCAATGATGCACCTGTGAATTATATCCAAGTCCTCAGAAGTCATCTCATTGTGACGAAGACGGTTCAAAAGCTGTGCAAATTCTAAATCATCCTTTTGTCGCATTACTTCATCTAACTCGAATAAGGTGAAGTTTTCTTTCCAAAGATTACATGCAAGTGCTTGGGCATTTTGTTTTAAATCTTGAAAAATCCAGCCATCCATAATTGGTTTCAGTTGAAAGAAATCTCCAACAGCAATAATACTGATGCCTCCAAACGGCCTCTTCAAACCAGTAAGAAGCTGAAGTCTGCCATTGATAAATTCCAACTTTGCATTGCCAACCATTGAAATTTCATCTATGATGACAACTGACAAATTTCTGTATTTAGTTCTAAATGTGTTGAGTTCATCACAATGCATATTTTGCTGCCTTTGGTTAATTTTCTGGTGAAATGCAGAAGCAATTGTCTGACCACCAATGTTAAACGCAGCTTTACCAGTGTATGCACAAAGAAGAATTCGTATATCGTCTGGATTTTCACCCTCCTTAGCACATAAATACCGATGTAAAGCTTGATAAAGCGCTTTAATTAACACTGACTTCCCAACTCCTGCACCTCCTGAAAGATATGCATGAATAGGTTCCTGTTTAGACTTGATCCATTGCATAACATGATTGAAGAATTCGCGTTGCTTCAAATTTAAACTGGCTACAAGCTTTAAATACTCATCATCAGGTAATCTAACAGAACTCTGTTCATTTAATTGTCTTGTTGATGGAATTCCAACTTCATTTCCTATATCATACTCTCTCTGTTCAATTGGCCTTTCTGGATTAAAGTGAACGAATGTTTCAGAATCAACATTTCCTTCATATTCATCATCTGCGTCAGTTTGTTGAGCACCAGGAGCTAATTCATCATATGCTTCTGTCAAATCATCCTGCGCCATCTGTTCTGCCTGCTCAAGCACATCAGCATTGTGTTCATACTGTTTGATTTTCTGAGCCAAGAAAAATTTTTTCTGGTTAAATGACTGCTCAAAGCTCTGCTGTCCACACAGAAGATCAGAACATTCATTTCGCCATGGAGTGAACAGCATTAGTTTTTCTCTATAGTAATTTTCTGGGTTTGTCTTTAAGCTATAACGCACATATCTTATAACTCTTGGTGTTTTTCTGCGCTTGATTTTAATTCCATTTCTCAACACAACTAATGTGCTGTCTTCTTTAAATTCACCCTCAGTATCACTTCCACTATCTTCATTTTCTGACTGGTGCCTCTCATCATCATTTGTTTCCATTTCAGACAGCTCACTTATACTTTCCTTTGGGAAAACTACATCTAACTGTGACACATAGTCAGCTAAACACCAGTTTTCAAGTTGTTTTGGACGTTTTGCATATCTTTTGACTATGTTACTGCATTCTATGTCTGTGGAATTAGCATTCAACTTTTCAAGTTCTGAATCAGGTTTGACAAGTATTACACGGTCATCAACTGGAGATGTGTTTATGAACATTACATCTCTTGATGCTTTTGTAAGGGGCATTTGCAAAACTAGATATGCAGCTTCTTGTGCTCCAACTTCAACACTGTTAAGAAATTGATTTCCAATGTGTCTAACTTGTCTCTTAATGTCAAGATTGCCCTCTCTTGCTTCCTTAGCAGCTCTACTCAGCAGCTCACTCATTCCTCTTTGGGATTTACTTATGTATGAGACAATGTACATTGCACAAGCATATGGATCCAAAACATACTGAATATCAATGTTTGCTGCCCAAGCATGAAGAAGAGTACTGTTGTAAGCATTCACTCTCAAGTCACAGGGTTTACGTTTTAAAAATACCTTGGGTGTTCTCAAAGAACTTCTGATGCATTTTATATAATCATCTTCAGAAAGTTGTAGTACATTCTGCAAAAAGTCTTGGAAAGTGCAGCTTATGTCACATCCATTTTTAAAGTCATTCACTTTGTCTTGCATAGTCTTGTGCATTTTCTTGTATTTATCAATGTCACTGTCCAAAGGTTCTAATATCATAGTAGCTTGGAGTGGTGGAAGTGGAAATCCAAATCTACAAACAGCCTTTCCTTTTTTCTTGCATGTTTGTGAGTGTTTATGAACTTGCAATTCTGTCAAATTGTCTTCTGTATTCCTTTCACACTTCAAGTAGCTGTCAACAAATGCAACAATTTCCTTGTTATCATTTTCTAAGTATTTTGGAGCATTTTCAATCCAAACAATCATGTGAACATGTGGTGATCCCCTCTGTTGAAATTCAACTCTATAGAAAAAGTCCTGTATCTTACCAATAGGATGATGATCACTCTTAAGCACAGTATTCAAAAAAGTCCGAAAACGATGATCAAAATACCTTGTACATGTAATTGGGTCTTTCTGAACTAACTTTGACTTTTCAGTCCATGTCATGCTCTCAATTTCAGAATCTGTGTACTGTTTGTCATCGTTTAAAACTCCTAATGCTCTGATCAGATCATTCCAACGTGTATCTGCAGCAGAAAAGGACATAAACCAAGTTGGTAGACCAAGCTGTCGTATCATTGCAAAAACGTCTTTCTTTCTTGTTTCAAGATAAGGAGGAGAATTTCTCAACTGTTTGAAAACATAAAATCCCTCATTGTGTCTAACAATGTCATTGATTTGATCAGGATTTCTTATTTCATTTGCAGTAAAGGTTTTCCCCTTTGTTTTGCACTTTCTAAGGGCTAAATTGCATTTGTCTGTTACCTGTTTTAGTTGAATCTTTTTCAATTTGAAAAACAAATTTGGTACCGACTGTGCAGCACGTCTATCAACACTTCGTAATTCCCACTTGGCAATATCAGCATATGAAACAGGTATTTGACGCTGATCGTTTTCTACCCTTCCTTTGCCACAAAATATTGTAGGAAATGACAAATACTCAGCCATTTGATCTTGATACAAACTAATTGGTCGCTGTCCCTCTCCTGGAGCAAATGTGAAGATCTGATTCATGTCATACGAGTCACTGTCTAGTAAAGTATCACGATTTCCATCCTTACCACTATCAACTTCACAGAATTCATCAGAGTCTGATTCATCTGATTGGTCATGCATTGCTGAATCTTGATTGGTGTGACCCTCTATAAACTCTCTCATTAATTCGCTTGCAGAATTGGTGACCTCAAGGAACCAGTTGTCATCTATGTTTATGTTTGAATTCTGATAATATTCACTGTTTTTCATTAACCAATGTAAAGCAATCAGAACCTTTGTAGGTCGGATATTTTCATGACAATAAGAGTGCTGAAAAGATAGTTTCCTTTTTAACTTCACAGGTATTGTAATATTTTCATCAAGTCTCCTGGGAAGACTGTTGATTGTTGGTTGAATGTCAACTGGCACATTTACAACATTTCCTTTTACTGAATACTGCCCTCCTCTTGGTAATTCTCTTATCTGCATGAAGGGAATTCTTAAGGATACAAGTCTTTCTTCCAATGGTAACAGATTCAATTCACTTGGTTTTTGAAGCCATGTCATTCCATTTGCAATAGAGAGTTTTGGCGTTCGACTTTCTTTTAAACTTGAATTGCATGTGTTGCATATCCATTCCTGCCCATTTACAGACTTTGTATTAGTAAAATACTTCCTTTTGATTTCAGCATGCAACAAAACATTATCTACATTTGAAACACTTTCATGAAACCATGTCTGTTGGCAACATGTGCATACAAACACAGGACCCAACCTTACATTGTTGTGAAAATTGTCAACACACTCAATTGCATCAACTCCAAATTTACTTTTTCTGTATCTTTGTTTTTCAGTTTCAATATAGTCCAAATTCCCCCGTGAGTGTGCTTTTGATTGTTTTGCAGCAATATTTTCTGATGATCTATACTCTTCATTTTTTCTCTTTTCTTTCATCTTCAATCTTTCTTTTTCTAACTGGTTAGAATTTTGTCTCATTTCTTTTTTCTTCTTTAAATCTCTTGTTTGCTCATCATGCCTATACTCTGCATCTTGTCTCTTGTTTCTTTTACTGTCCCTTTCCCTGTCTTTAAACTCTGGATCTTTTCTCTTGTTTTTCTTACTGTCCCTTTCCCTGTCTTTAAACTCTGGATCCTGTCTCTTGTTTCTCTTACTGTCCCTTTCCCTGTCTTTAAACTCTGGATCTTTTCTCTTGTTTTTATTACTGTCCCTTTCCCAGTCTTTAAACTCTGGATCTTGTCTTTTGTTTCTCATACTGTCCCTTTCCTTTTCTTTGAACTCTGGTTCCTGTCTCTTGTTTCTCATACTGTCCCTTTCCTTCTCTTTAAACTCTGGATCCTGTCTCTTGTTTCTCTTACTGTTCCTTTCCCTGTCTTTAAACTCTGGATCTTGTCTCTTGTTTCTCATACTGTCCCTTTCCTTTTCTATGAACTCTGGTTCCTGTCTCTTGTTTCTCATACTGTCCCTTTCCTTCTCTTTAAACTCTGGATCCTGTCTCTTGTTTCTCTTACTGTTCCTTTCCCTGTCTTTAAACTCTGGATCTTGTCTCTTGTTTCTCATACTGTCCCTTTCTTTTCTATGAACTCTGGATCTTGTCTCTTGTTTCTCATACTGTCCCTTTCCTTTTCTATGAACTCTGGATCCTGTCTTTTGTTTCTCATACTGTCCCTTTCCTTCTCTTTAAACTCTGGATCTTGTCTCTTGTTTCTCTTACTGTCCCTCTCTTTTCCTTTAAACTCTGCATCTTGTCGTTTGTTTCTTTTACGGTCTCTTTCATTGTCTTTAAACTCTGGATCCTGTCTCTTGTTTCTCTTTCTGTCCCTTTCCCTTTCTTTAAACTCTGGATCTTGTCTTTTGTTTCTTTTACTGTCCCTTTCCTTTTGTTTGAACTCTGATTCCTGTCTCTTGTTTCTCATATATTCTCTCATGTAATCCTTTTTATCTTTCTTTATCGCTGTTGTTTTTAAGTGACCAGTATTGGTACCAGCAGATTGTTTGTTTGTGAGAGCAGTTGTTGTTAACTGATCTAATCTACAATATTGATGTGTACTTTGATTATTACTAGGGAAGCTATGAATAAGTGTGCGAAAGGCAACAGGCATCACTTCAAACTCAGTTGCAAATTCAATGTGCATACTTTCATACATTGCATACAGAAATCCTAACAAATCATCTAAGCAGCAACTGTGTCTCATCAGAGACTTTCCATCACATTCAGACAAACCATTTTCCCCATGAGAATGCGAGTCAAAAAAATAAAAATCATTGTCTGAAGCTTTGTACAGTGCTGAACATATCGAGCCAATCATTATTAATACATATCTAGATAACCCCAATGCTTGTTGCAGACATTCATGTAGAGTTTGAATTTGATTTCTCTTATCATCTGTAACTAATAAACCAAACAATGTATCAAACTTGTCAACAATGTGATGATTTTCACCAGAATCAATATGAAGTGGTAGTTCATCAAACATCAGTAACCTACTTTTAAAATTTCCAGCACTCTGGAGATTCTTCACAGCTGTGTTGTACAAATTATCTCCCTTGAGC